CATCTGTCAGCTGAAATATTGGTATGTAGTAAGCATAAAGCCCTGATGTACACCGTTCTTGATTTTAAACTATGCATTATATTGTGAACCTTGCAGTTAAATACCTTTACATTAAAACAGCAAGTAAAACTCAATAAAACACAAGTAAAAATCTTGTTTTGGCTTCTTGACACTCCATTACAATTTTAAGTTTCTTCTGACATCCATTTAGATTGTTTCTTTTCACTTTCACTAGCAAGGTTGTGTGATCTGCATATCACATCTAGTTATGAGTCTTCCTCTAATCCTGAGACAAAATCTTCTTCATAAATTCAAGAGATAGCTACTTGCTAGCTGACTGGAAAATAGCCAAGAAATGTAATTCAGCAGCATGTGGAAATGATTTAACAATATCATTAGTATCATAAACAAGTCAAATCTTACAGAAGATTATCTAAAATCAGCTAGAATAGAGACCTGTCAGAAGTTCACAACTGTTTTTAGAAGGAACTGTGGCACCCAGGATATCATTGCTGATGTCAGATGGATCTTGGCTAAAGTTAGAGAATAACAGAAGACTATCTATTTGTGTTAATTATTGACTGTGCAAAGGCATTTGACTATATGTTGTTGGTTCTTGTTAGATTTTGCTGAGTTGAGTGTGACCCATAGCAGCCCTGTGAACAACGGATCTGAACCGTGTCCTATCTTGTACCATCTTTACACTTCCTGACACACTATAGAGCCCATCTGGTTGAGGGTTTTCCTCTCTTTCCTCCCTTTCTCTCGTTTGTTGACCCTTTACCTTTCCAAGTATGATGTCCTTCTCCAAGGAATAGCCCCACCTAGCAACGTGGTCAAAGTATGTGAGGCAAAGGTTCAACATCTTTGCCTCCAGCGATGTATTTTTTTTGTTCTTTTCTCAATCCATGGGATATTTAGTACTCTTTTCTCCTCTGTTTTTGTAACGACCTTTTGCTTTCTTCGTGGATGATACCCTTGATATCACCCCACATATCATTCAGTCTTCAATCGCTGGTGTTCTATGTCTCAAACCTATTCCTAAAATGATCTTGAAATTAAAATGGAATTGAGTCAAGATAATATCTTGGTTTCTATATACTTATTTTCATTTCAAGTGAGAAGGACTTGAAGCACTTGTTGAAGAAGATCAAAGAATACATCCGTCAGTGTGGATTGCATTTCAATGTCAAGAAAACAAAGATTCTTACTGCTGGACTGATAGGCAACATCTCTGATGGGTGGAGAAGAGATTGAAACTGTCAACAACGTTATCTTACTTGGATCCACAATTAATACCCTAGTACCAAGCAGTCAGGAAATAAGGAGATACTTTGCACTGGGAAAATCTGCAATTAGGACATCTCCAAATTTGAGGAGTAAAGATGTCAGTGTAGCGGTAAAACCCAGATTGAAAATAATTTGAAATGAGGAAACAATAATAAACATGATTTAATAATTGAAACATGTAATGTATGTAGCTTGACTGTTGGATGTTGCTAGGAGGTTTTTTCTTTCTCCTGTCTTTGAAATGACCTTTTGCACTCTATAGATGATATCCTGGATGGCATCCCACACCTCACCAGGTCTTTGATCATTAGAATTCAGTGCTTTAAACCTACTAAGATAATTTTGAAATGTAGGTAGAATAGACTCAAAATCATGTTTTGGTTCTCATGGACTTGTTTTAGTTTTCTTTGGCCTCAATTTGAATTTACACATAAGTAATTGATAGTGTGTTCCACAGTCTGCCTCTGGCCTAGTTTTGATTGCTGAGATTGAGCTTCTCCAACAATTCCTTCCACATATGTAGTCAGTCTAATTCCTATGAAATCCATTAGGTGAAGTCCATTTGTAAAGTCACCATTTGTGTTTTTTTAAAAGATATTTGCAGTGAATAAATCCTTGAGCATACAAAATTTGATCATTCTGTTTCCAGCCTCACTTCTGTCACCAAGTTTATATTTTCTGATTGTCATACCTTCTTCATTGTTTCCAACTTTTGCATTCCAGTCATAAGTCATCATTAACAGTTCTTGATTGTATGTTTGGTCAGTTTTGGATGGCAAGGTTTGGTAAAAATTTTCTATTTCCTCCACTTTGGCTTTAGCTGTGTATATTTGAGTAATAGTTTATTAACAGATTTTTCTTTCATGTGTATGGATAACACCCTATCATTTACAACATTGTACTCGAGGATAGAACTTTAAATTGACTTTTCGACTATGAATGCAATACCATTCTTCTCTTTTCCATTCCTTGCATTGTATACTGTGTGATTTTCTGATTCAAAGTTAGCTTTTAATTGTATGGATCATAACAGATTGTGGCTAACATTGAGAAGAATGGAAATCCCCAAACATTTAATTGTACTTACGTGAAACCTGGACATAGATCAAGAAGCTTGTTCAAAAAAGAGCAAGGGAATTGCATGGTTTAAAATCAAAACAGGTTCACATCAGAGCTATAATCTTTCTCCATACCTGTTCTTTTTTCCATTTAGTCATTCCCTTTTATCCCTTGCAGTTTATTTCTTTGTTTTTGGTTCATATTAATAAGATATTCTTTCTTTTAATTAGTAAATATATGGATATTCTCCTAATTTCCTCTTCTTTTTCACACAAAAGATGGCATACTATTTGTGATCTTCTGTACTTGATTTTTAAATTTAACAATTTAGCTTGGAAATTCCCTAGCACTTTCAGGAGCTCTTTCTCATACTTATTTTTATAGCTACCTAAATATTTGAGCATTAAGATAGCTGCTAGTTATTTGCAGTGACAAATAATGCTGGGCATGGAACACTTATGTTACTAATAAGAATTTTTTTTAAAAATTTGACCTTTCCCCTTGATATTATATTTAATTAAAAATTCTATTTTTTTTTCTTTTTAAACATTTGCCAGTTTTTTGTTTTCCTATTTACCAGTTTGCTGTTTTCCTATCAACAGGTAGATTTAGATGTTACATTACCGGGAGAAGGTGGAAAAGATCGACCTTTCAAGGTGTCAATTAAATTTGTCTCTCGTGTGAGCTGGCATCTACTGCATGAAGTTCTGACAGGACGAACCTTGCCTGAGCCACTGGAATTGGACAAGCCAATCAGCACTAACCCTGTCCATGCTGTTGATGTGGTGCTACGACATTTGCCCTCCATGAAGTGAGTACTTCTTGCTTTTTTTCCTCCCTCTTCTATAGATTTTTATTTAGATGGGAAGGGTTTCTTCTTGATATTGAGTGTGCAGGCTCCTTTAGTTGATCTTCACATACTATATATCTTGATTTTTTTTTTAAGTTGCTCAATAATGGTATGAATATAAGTTCATTTACAAGAATAAGTTACAGGAAATATATAACTTAAAATTAGTAGCTTACCTGTTGTGGTTTCTTTTTTTCCGTTGTGTTTTTTTAAAATTAATTTCAATAAAAGTTTACAGAGACTTAGGGTTTCCAGTCATTCATTATTGCACTTTTCTCCCTACCCATCCCCTACCCCCTAATACACTCTTCTCCTTAAAAAGAAAAAGAAAAGCTCTTTCATTGTTGCACAGTCCCTTTCCCCCAAGTCCACTCTACTATGCAGTATTCACTCTGGACTTCTGTAATGACAAGAATACCCATTCATTTTCCCCTTTAAAACAGTTGTCTCCCTCATCTGTTTCAATGCAGTATACATTTTTCCTCCCCTCCTTCTGTCTTCCCTCAACCCTGATGTCAGTCCTGTTTTACAACAGTGACCCTATACAATATTTATTCTTTTGTGTCTGAGCTATTTCACTCAACATAATGTCCTCCAGGGTCATCCATTTTGCATAATATTTCATGAGTTACTTGTTTTTCAATGCTGCATAGTATCCCATTGTGTGAATATACCAGAACTTCTCTATCCATTCATTTGTTGATGGGTATTTGGGTTGTTTCCAGCTCTTTGCTATTGTGAACAAAGCGGCAATAAACATGAGTGTGCATATATCTGCTTGGATGGAAGTTATGGTTTCTTTAGTGTTTATTCCCAGTAGTGGAATTGCTGGGCCAAATGGTATCTCTATTTGCAACTTTTTGAGAAAGTGCCATACGGCTTTCCATAGTGGTTGTACCATTTTACACTCCCACCAACAGTGAATAAGGGTTCCAGTTTCTCCGCAACCTCAGCAGCATTTGTTGTTTGCTATTCTGTTAAATTTTGCTATTCTTACTGGGGTGAGATGATATCTCATAGTTGTTTTTACCTTACCTGTTTTAATGAGTATTTTAATAAAAAAATATCTTTGATAGAAAAATTCCTTAGTCATAGATATTGAGTACATATTTTCCAATTCATTCTCAATTCCTACTCTTTTACTTTTATTATATATACTCTCTAATGTATATGTGATCAGTATGTCTTTTGTAAATAAAAATGTCTTGCAAAAAAAATTACAGAGCTGTATTTCTTCTGATCAGTAATTATTTACTCTTTATCATTTCCTGAGTTTGGAATGTAACTTTTAAACTTGCTTTTAAAAATGTGTTTGTAAAAGGAGCAAGGGCAGCAGGTGGACAGCTATATCTGACCTCTACTGTCCTTGCAAAGGGGTATTGTCTCCATTAGCAACATGCACAGCACAAAACCAATTCTCATGAGGTCAGACATGTCCCCCACATTCCCACACCTCTTTTAACTAATTCCAACATCAATCCTACTGTTCTGCTGGGTCCAGAATCTGTTGCATTAGCTCACAGAGTACATGGAACCATACTTACAATTATGGAGTTTATTAGGGAATTAACAGGATACAATTTCAGTTGGAAATAAGATACAATTTCTTACTCAGGACAATTTATGAAGCATGCTCACAGGCCCTGCAGCCTTCAGCCTGATTTTATAAGGCCAGAGTTATAAAGCTCTTATTCTTGCCAGTTATGGCTTTCCCCTTCAGACTGCCAACAAATGGGTGATGGCTCCTAGCTCTGCTTTCATGGGGTTGCAGTCCCAACATCACCTCTGCTTCATGTCTGGTATCTGGTTTTCTAATGTGGCTGTTTCAGTAGAAGAGTAGGAGAGTACTCCTGTAAATCTGGCTGATGGAAGAATCTCTGGCCCCGAAGGGTGTGCTGCATTCTCTTGATGGTTCCTTGCTGATGGTGAAAGTCTCAAAATCTGCCATTAATTATACTTAATTCAGTCACAAGATTAGGTAGTCCCCTTGTGGATAGGCTGACACACCCTGTTCACATATTGCTGCCCATGCACATGGCAGAGTCAAAGTCAATGGCTAGCAGAAAAGTTTTGACCAATAAACCCTTAAATCCACAGTGTTTTATTTAAAATTTATTCATATTCAAACATAATCTTATAAAATAGGTAGTTTTATTGAGGGAAACTGAAGGAGGTTTTTTTCCCCATTTGCTGCTTTTGTTTTCACAAATTTGGAATATGTTTTGTTCTATATGCCCTCTATAAACATGATAATGACAAATTAGTTTCTAGTGCTCTAGTTACTCCTATTCTGCAGAGTAGTTAAATATATGGGAAGGAAAAGACTGAACATGCCATTTTAATTTTTGTAGATATACGCCTGTTGGACGTTCCTTTTTCTCAGCTCCAGAAGGATATGACCACCCTCTGGGAGGGGGCAGGGAGGTATGGTTTGGATTCCATCAGTCTGTTCGGCCTGCTATGTGGAAAATGATGCTTAATATTGATGGTAAGGAAACTAAAGCCATACTCTATGTTGACTAGTTAATTTATATATAACCTGTTAGATGTGTGGGTGTAGCTATGTTAATAGCTTTGTATGTATATATTTTTATATCATTTAATGCACTGGTATATTGAAATAATATTTGAATATTAAAATAGACTAGGAAAACTTTCACATTTTATTATGAAAGCTTTTATACAGAATTTATCCTAGTTGCTACTAAAAAGATCTGGTGTGCAAAACAGTGTATATAAGCTTTGTATATAAACCAGTATAAAATAAACTTTTTTAAAAAAAAACCAACTAGATATGAAAGTCTTGGCATGATCGTCTGAACAGTCTTTTAGTATAACTCATCTTTTGTTCTAAATCTAAGTCAACATTCAATCATTAAGTATGTATTTTAGAAGAAAAGAAATCTGTTAGTCATGGTGGCCTGCAGATACTATGTCTGCTGCTTATACGTAGCACATGAGCTAAGTGGTTGCTGTGATGCTAAACACTGTGACACTGATGTGCCAAATGTGATAACGGTTACCCATGGTGGACAGTGTTTGGTGGAGCTTCCTGATTAAAACAAGCTTGGAAGCAGGAGTGACATCCACTTCCAAAATGGCTTGCCCCTGGAAACAGTATGAACAGTGCTCAGGTCTTTTGTTTATAGGATTGCTATGAGTCACCTCGACGGCACTTAACAACAACAACAACTACAGCTGATACTTAATGTGTCACTGTCTCTTTTTCTAGCTATTTTCTCACCAACATTTTCTAGAATACAAAGCAGTAGAGAATATACTATGATGAATTTCCTCATGGATAGCTATAATCCAAATTGTTGAGATTTTTCTGCTCTTGCACATTCTTGACTGTGTTTCTTTCTTTATTACATTATTTTCAAATCAAATCCCAAATAGCATGTTATTTTGTCTATACATATCTTACTATGCATCTTTCAAAATATGGCTGTTTTCTTAACATAGCCACATGTTATTACATGTAAAAAAATTAAAATATTTGGTCTCTAATATACTGTCCATAATCAGATTTCCATGTTATCTCAAATCTGTTTTTAGTTTATTCATTCTAAATTGACCCAGACAAGATCCATAAATATTTGATTATTATACTTTTTAAATCTAATTGTTCCATTTTTCTCTCTTGTTTTTTTTTCTCCTTTTTATGCAGTTGACTTGCTGTCAAACTGGTTTACTTGTCCTGGAGAATATTCTCAATGTGGTTTTCTCCTTTTGTTTTCTTATGGGGTCTTTCATTGCCTTGTTCAATTGGCCCATGTATTCCTTGAGAATGGAAGTCAGTCATAGAATTTTGATTTTTAACAATTGTTTGAAAATACATCAGAAGTTCTTCATATCACATTATATTAGGAGGCATGTAGTTTCTAGTTGTAGTTTTAGTGATGCAAATACGCAACATAGTATAGATGAGAAAGTTTAGGGGTGATAACTGAACTATTATCAACTTTTCAGTCACCCTTTCTTTTACTAGTGATCTATACATTAATGATTGCTACTTGAATTTTTTATTTCCCATGTTTTTACCAGCTGGTAGTATTTTCTGTTCTTTTCCCACTAGATGGAATTCTGATATGGAAAGAACTTGTTGTTGTTGTTATGTGCCATCAAGTCACTTGCGACTCATAGCGACCCTATGTACAAGAGCTTTATACGCTCTTCTATCCTGTGCCAACCTAGCCACTTATTCCCACCTCTCTAGTCACAGAATCGATCCATCTCATCAAAGGTCTTCCTCTCCTTTGCCACCCCTCCACTCTGCCAAACATGATATCCCTCTCCAAGGACCAGTCCCTCCTTGCAACATGCCCAAAATATGTCAGACGAAGCTTCAGAATCCTTGACTCCAGGGAACATTCTGGCTTCACCCTCTCCAGGACAAACTCCTAGCGGTTCATGGTATATTCAACACTCTTCTCCAGCACCACAGCTCAAAGGCATCAATTCTATCAACCCTATTCACTGTCCAACTCTCTGATGCATAGCACGTAATTGCGAAGACTATAGCCCAGATATTGGCTGCATCATAAGAGATTCACAGCAGCATGGTATGTCCAGAATCACAGAAATCCTGATGGCTTGAGACTTAGACCATCACATCAGGGGCTGGTCAATGGGAGATGGGTATTGAATGGTGTAGGCAAAAGGAGGAAGGGATGGTGGTGGAGTAAGGAAGCATCGGTGGGCTGTAACACTGAATCTACTGGTCACTGTTATAACTGGGCATTTGTCTTTCATCGGTTCTTTTCTGTGGAATTCTTGTCTGTCAGATACTATTTTATATATATTTAAAGATTGAGACAGACTAGGAAGAAGGATTGGCCATCCACTTCCAAAAAGACAGGCCTTCGAAAACCCTATGTATAGTGTGTATGGAAAGAACTTAGCCCCTATGAAATGGAGCTAGTTAGTTCTCTTTAATTACAGTTTGTTAAAAGGGACAATAGATGCTTAGTTCTTTGTCTAATTACCAATTTTTGGAGTACAGGGTTTTAACTCTAGATATTTCCCAATGAGTTGTGCTTGAGGTTTGGGTTTGGTTTTGTTGTTATTTTCTATTTTTTAAAAATTGAGTTTTTGTTGTTAAGAATATAAAAAGAAAAAGAATATAAAAAGCAAAACAGTTTCTGCTATTTAGTTCTCCGTAATTACAGGGACCATGATTACATTCTCCTCCTCCACGTTGTTCCTTCTCCAGTAATACAAACTCTTTGTCCCCTGAGTTACCTATCTTTTGAGTTGCTTTTGCCAATTTTATCCCATATAGATGGTCTAAAGAGGGTGCTATGCTCAAGAGAAGCATTCTTTATTGCTAAGCTAAATTATTACATGGTTTTAAAAAGACTTTAGAGGTGTTTTTGGACCAAGGTTTAAAATTTCAAGAGTATCTCAGAGCCATGATTTCACCTAACCTCCATGGATCCGGAAAGTTGGTATTGTGTGAAAATGTGAAACTGTTCTGCATTTCCCCAGAACCAAAAAATGTTTATGTCCCTGTAACCACAGCTTATGTTTATTGTATAACATTGTTAATTTCATAATAGATTTTTGCTTTCATTTAGTCAGTAGGTATGTTCACCTAATTTTCATTGGAAGACAACATAGTGAAGTAAATTTAGGAATTTAACTAATCAGATAACTAAGCCCTGGTGGCTTAATGAGTTATGTACTGGGCTACTAAGAGGTCAGAAGTTCAAATCCACCAGCTGCTCTGAGAGAGAAAGATGGGCAGTCTTTCCTGAAAAGAATTATAGCCTCAGAAATTCAATCGAAGTTCACAATGAGTTGAAATTTACAGCAGTGGGTTGTTGTATTTGTTACTAATAAGTTATTTAATGAACATCTATTAAAATTTTATATTTATGTAGCTTATTGTTATATGCCATCAAGCTGCTTTTGACTCATAACAACCCTGTCTATGTACAACAGCTCTGAAACCTACTCTATCTTGTGTCTCTGACACACCTACCCCTGTTACTCCAGTCCCCGAGTCAATCCATCTCATCCAGGGTCTTCCTCTCTTGCACTGGTCTTCCTTTCTTGCACTGTCCCTCCATCCTTCCAAATAGAATGTCCTTCTCCAAGGACTTGTCCCTCCTTGCAACATGTCCAATATATGTGAGGTGGAGCTTCAACATCCTTACCTCCAAGGAGCTGCCTGGTTTCATCCTCTCCAAGACAGACTTTGTTCTCTTAGTAGTCCACGGTATGTTCAGTACTTTTCTCTAGCACTGCAACTCAAAGGCATCATAATTTTAGCACATTTGTACAATATTTCCTAATATTAGGACTATTTAAAATTCTTTTGCCTTAGAAATGTAGGCTTTTCTTTTATAAATTTTTTCTTATTGTTATTTGCCATCATGTTCATTCCAGCTGCTGACAACCCCATGTAGGCAGAGCAGTAGAATTGTTCCATATAGTTTTCAAAAGTAAACTATCAGAAGTTCCATAGGCCTGTCTTTTGAGGTACAATCTGAATGGTTTAGTATTGTCAATCTTTTGAGTCATAGTAATTGGCTTAATGTTTTTTTAGGTTCATTCAAGGCATCATGACTTCATTTCCTTTAATGGCTTAGTAATAGTTCATTTTATATACATTTTGTATATTCATTCATCCCTTGGTGAGCATTTGTGTTATTAAGGCTTCCTATATTTTACTTACTTATACACACACACACACACACACACACACACACACACACACGCACACTATTATAAGTAAGGAAGTATGAACATGTGTGTGCAAGTTTTTTGTGTCTGATTTGTCTTGGGTCTATATATCTGACAGTAGAATTGCTTGGTCATGCAAGTATTCTGTTTAAATTTTTTGAGAAACTGCCAAACTTTCCTACAGAAACTATATTACAGTCTCCCAATAGTGTCCAAAGGCTCTTCTCTGCATCCTTGCCAGCACTTGTTATTTTCCTTTTTAAAAAATGAAAACTACATTAGTGGGTGTGTCTTGGAGAAAGTGCGACCAGAATGTTTCTTGTAGGCAAGGATAGCAAAGTATCATCTCACATACTTTGTGCATATTGCTAGGAGAGACTATACCTTGGAAAAGGAAATCATGCTTGGAAAAATGGAAGTTCAGCAAAAGAGAAAGGTGTTGAACCAGATGGATTGACACAGTGACTACAGTAGTGGGCTCAAGGGTGTTGGGGCTGGTAAGGATGGCACAGGATAGAACAGGATTCAGATCTGTTGTTCATAGGGTCACTATGAATCATTCTCAGCTCAGCAGCCTAACAGTAACAACAGCTGGATGAGAAGTAGTTCTCATTATCATTTAGATTTGTATTTCTTTAATGATGAATAATGTTGACCATCTTTTCATTTGTGTATTCTTTGAAGAAATTTCTGGCTTTTTGCTTTTTTTTAAATTGGATTTTTTGTCTTTTTGTTATTACATTGTAAATAGTTGTGTATCTTTCTGATACATAACCCTTACTAGCTAGATTTTCTTCC